AGAAATAAAATATTGGATGAAAACCCAAAAAAAACATAGTGGACCTTTTTCCTATCACGATAAGACTTCTGAGTACTGCCGTCAGGTCGCAAAGTAGTGTTGATAACTCGGTAACTTAACTCATGCGTCACACAACGTCAGGTTTGTTAGTAGTAACCATTGGCGTATTGAACTATGTTATTTAAGTTCCTTCTTGATCCTTCGTCCACGTCGATAAACCACAAGTTTCCAAATAGTCGTCTACGATTTACGATTTGACCAGAACATATAGTAAATCAACCAGGTATAACAGTTCGAAAGACTTCAAAGTATACCAGACTTGGTTTTTCTTTTTCCCGCAATTTGTTCACGCACCCATTGAGAAAAAATCTCCGGCAACATTTTAGACAAATTTCAAGACCCTAAAATATGGCAGGCTTTAGATGATGTGCTACTGAGAGACTTTTTCGAGACACTTGAGGTCAAGCTGGATCACGAACTGCTGGAACATGGCGCTGTTGTCAGTGTTGTAGAGCGCAGTTAATTTGCTTGGCTCGTGTGCTGCCACAGCGGAGTAAAATCGTCGTCTTGGACGAGCCAACTGCGCCTGTCGACCCAGACACAAAGCAGACAATTTGGAATGTAGTGCGGGACAAACTGAAGGAGTCCACTTTCATCTCTATAGCCACCGTTGAACTCGATAAAAGACTGCCAGAATATTTTGGTCTTGAAAGATGGAAATTTAAAGGATTTGACAAATTTGTTTCAATAATGAACACTAAGTGAGATGCAGCCTAAAGTTGAAATACCTCGATTGTCACGTAGGTCTGATCCTGCACAGCTTTAGATGCTATAAAGTTTGTAACCTTCTCCAGAGTTCTATTTCTGCACATCGTGGAAAAAAAATGACATTTGATGTTTTTGCTCGGTTTTGGCTCCAATGCACTCCTATGCATCTTTAAAATCTCTCTCGCTGTCATGTTTCAGGGTGTCACGCAACGTCCATTTTGCCGTGAGTCTGTTCAGTAATAGATCACAGATGAAGTCATAATGTTATAAGAACAGAAAAACCTGCGCACTAGGCGCAAGCGTGTGTGTCACTGATGTTCCAACTGCTCTATGACATCCTCTGTGATCTTTTAAGGAACAGAGCCACCGTACCGTAGTTTACATTTGCTTCATGTAATCGATATTAAGTTGGTTTTTTCATCTTTTAAAAAAGGCAATATGTTTGGTGTGAAAGATTCTGTCCTTCGTGAACCCCATACGTGTGTGGCTTACAAGTTTTTATGTGCGGGCCGTAATACCTGCTATGTCGGCGAAACCTCTCGACATTTATCCACACGCGTACGTAAGCACTTGGTCAGTGATACGGCTTGTCACATTTTCAGCCATCTACACAATTCTCCACAATTTCGCACTCTTTGTTCTGATGAGTGTTTTAATATCCTAAATCAGGCTTCCACTACTTTTCAGCTTAAAATCAAAGAAGCTATCCATATTCAATGGGAGAAACCTCCTCTTAATCACCAACTTTATCATGTTAATTTAAAACTTTCCTTGTAAATGCATA